ATTTAATTATTCTGAGGCTCTGAGCCCTATTTCTTTTACTCACAGACGGCAAAAAAAGTCCGACATTATACGATTTAAAATAAAAACAATAATCGTGGCTTGATATTGAGTAAGAACCGTTAAGAACATGTTTTTATGAACCACACAGCTTCCGGTCTACCAAGACCCGACAGACAAAACGTGGCGTATCATGCATGCAAAATCGGACTTCTGCGTATCTATTGCACGCATTTCCAATGTGTAAAGTCGTGTCGTTTGTACGCAGACTGAAGAGAGTGGGTTGGAATACATAATGTATTTGAAAAGAGGTGCCGGAAAAGCAAAATGTATGACAAGATAGTAAAAAGTAACGATAATAATTCATATGAAATGGAATTGTATGCATATTGCAATTCAACAATGGTTTGACTTATTAAAGAAACGCCTTTATCATACAATCAATCCAGCAGCAGACAATAGGCGCTTTCACACCGGAGTACTTTTCCCAGGAATAGTTCCAATAGTTCCTGGGATTTTGCGTTCACACCAAAAAGATCTGGAACTAGCACTTAGTTTTCGGGAACCTTTTCACCCCTTTTCAGTCCCTGCTAGAGAGGTGGTACTTTCCTGGGGAGGAAAAGGTTCCCATTTCTGATTGGCTGGGCGAATTGCAAACCACGGCCCGTAAAACGCCGAAAAGTTTTTGTGAAACCGCCATTTTATTTGCTCGCATTAGCATTATTAGCATTAGCCCAGTGCACCAACGGAGAGAGACTAACTTAGGGCAACACAAAATAAAACGTGGGAGCGGTGGAATGATGAGGAGGTGTTGGCGCTTCTGGCGATTTACCCGGGACTTCGAGTGGCGATTTAGTATACGCCGTGATGTTGTTTGCGGCCTGCCAGTAAACCCAAAGCAGAAGAAGAAGTGACGTCAGCGGCTTCATTTGCGTAATCCTCCCTCAGGGACTTATTCCGGTGTGAACGCGATCTACTAGATAGTTCAGGAAATAAAGAGTTCCGGGGAACTAAGTCCCAGGAACTATTCCTGGGAAAAGTACTTGGTGTGAAAGCTTCTAATAAGAGCACATACAGAGGAATATAAAGCGTTCCTGATGCAGCCTTTGTCAGCAGTTCAGATGGGGGTCTTTACAGAGAAGCCCACCTGGCTAAATGAATAGGCAGTGTTGTCAGGGTTTAGAGGAGGCAGTGGCTGCTGTATAATACAGCTGCTGTCAGCACTGACAAGTCTCAGAAACACACACCTCTAATCTCAAACCCCTCTCTGCTACCTCCCAACCATAACACACAGAAAAAATGACACCCTGCGCAAATATTAAACATCTCCCAAGGCCCATTCCATTATCTGCTTTTCTCCAACACTGTTTTAACCCCCCCTCCCTCCTCCCTGCTCTCTCTCTCCCTCTCCACATCTCTCTCCCATCTTGTCTTGTCCTTGTCTCCTCAGAAGCCCTGGCAGCCGGATCATCTCTGTCTCTTAGTGTCAATTAAAAGTGAAATATCTGCATTTGTCAACATATCATTTGTGCTGGGCCTGTGATGCACTGCTGATTTGTCGGCCGATGCCTGACACCGGGGAGGGAATGCCTCGGCGGCAGGCTCCCTCATTAGACCTGGAGCTGGCACTATGATGGCTGACACCGCCGGGAGGCTTCGCTCCCCGCCGACATGATACTAACCCAGGAACAGACCTCGTCTGTCAGTCCTGTCACTTGCCAACCAGCCATCCAGTCAGGGAGAGCGGGGGCAGATGGGTGGAGGAGGAGGTGCTGGAGGATGGGGGGTTGCACCATGAGGGCCAGGGAGGGAGAGTCTATAATGAAGTTTATTTGTATAGCAAAATGTCAATATATGTCATAGTGTCTGAAGGACATGTGGGACATGGTTGACATTTGAGTTTGGTGACAGCAAATCTAATAATGATTTTAAACCAGGGTTACACTCTGCATTCACTATAAAATGACAAGAACCTTCTCATAAAGTACAGCTATGAGGTCGGAAAAAGATCACAAATAGATGGTAAACAATTATAATAACAGTCCATTGTGAGAACTAACTGCTCACAATTGACTGCATTTTGGCACTTTTTTTTGCTGTTGGCTCAAAAGGCAACACAACAATGTAGTTTGTGAATTTCTATATTCATCTGATTGTAAAACAAATCCCTTAAAAAGACCAAAACCCCAAAAGGTTCAATTCTGTCTCTCAAGACCTAAACTTCCTCTATGAAGACCTAAATCACCAGGTAACAAATATATAGCTTAAGTTGTTAAAAAAATGTATTTCCTCAAAGAGCAGGATATCGTAGATTTTGACTAATTACTGTAGGTAAAAACTCAATGTCAATGTCGTGAACATGATTTTGTAGTCAGAACACTTTGATAAAATGTCAGATCAGACCACACTACATTTGAAGCTGTTCTGTTTTCAGATGCTATTAATACAATATGTTCACTTTGTTGTGAAAACAATCCGACCAACCAGTTGAAAAGGACAATAAACTTAGCCTCTTCCGTCTATCTCAAACTTCCTAAAGAAAAGTTGTAAAATAAGAAGCAGGAGACTTCTGAGTGAGAGCTTTGGTAAGCACGGGTGATTCCAGGCCAGCAATACTGCAGGGTATATAGTTAAATTGCTAAAGTAAACTCTATTTATATTCTTCACATGGACTTGGCTATGAGGATCTGTTTCAGATAACTTTCTTCATATCTGCATGGATCCCATGTGGCAATAAAGTAGTCATTTCAAATGTACTGACAAAACACTTACAATTATGAAACAGACAACTTTATAATCCTGAACGTCACCAAGTGCTCCAGCCCCAGCTGTGTGCGTCACTCTTTAGTGTCCCCTGGTCTCCCAGCTGTGTGCGTCACTCTTTAGTGTCCCCTGGTCTCCCAGCTGTGTGCGTTACTCTTTAGTGTCCCCTGGTCTCCCAGCTGTGTGCGTCACTCTTTAGTGTCCCCTGGTCTCCCAGCTGTGTGCGTCACTCTTTAGTGTCCCCTGGTCTCCCAGCTGTGTGTGTCACTCTTTAGTGTCCCCTGGTCTCCCAGCTGTGTGTGTCACTCTTTAGTGTCCCCTGGTCTCCCAGCTGTGTGCGTCACTCTTTAGTGTCCCCTGGTCTCCCAGCTGTGTGCGTCACTCTTTAGTGTCCCCTGGTCTCCCAGCTGTGTGCGTCACTCTTTAGTGTCCCCTGGTCTCCCAGCTGTGTGCGTCACTCTTTAGTGTCCCCTGGTCTCCCAGCTGTGTGCGTCACTCTTTAGTGTCCCCTGGTCTCCCAGCTGTGTGCGTCACTCTTTAGTGTCCCCTGGTCTCCCAGCTGTGTGCGTCACTCTGTTGTATTTTGAGCTTCTTGCAGCGTTTTGTATTTGCAATGTTTGGTTTCTGCAGCTTTTAGTAAACGCTGCGCATGTTTCCTCAAGTTGCTGAATGTTTTCTAAATGCTGCATGTGTTGTCAAGTCGGTGATGCATGATTGGCAGATTTGTGTTTTTCAGATTTGCGCTTTTCTCCCATTGGAAATGTTTTGGGCCGTTGTCGGCCACCGTACACTAGCTGTGATGTGATCTCAAATATGTAACTGAAAAAGGTCTGTGATTGGATATTATCCCAAATGTATCTGCACACAGTGGGTGTAGATACTGGTCTCAATGTTATATCTTAGTATGTTATATAGCAGGGTTCCTGTTGCAGACCCATTGGGACCAGAGGGTTTAGGGTTAGTCACAAAGATTATGAGTCAGTGCACTGACAGAGAAAGAGTTCGGAAATCTCTGTGACACATTTTGATGGCTTAGTTCAGCCAAGTAACAACACATAGTACAAGAAAAATATTGTCAGTTTCCTCCAGTGGTATCTATGCAGAAAGGTAGTTTTGTCAAAACCCAGAACAGAAAGGGTATTAACAACAACAACAACAACAAAAGGCAAGCTTTATTAGCTTGTACAAAAAACACTCAACTAAGGGAGCAGACAAGGGTAACAAAAAAGAGAATTGACAGGAACCTTGACGAGCAGAACCACACCACGGGAATCAATGATGACAAACTGACAGAGAACACTGGGCAAGACACACACACACACACATTCTGATGTAGCAAATGGAGCTACTGTGATGCAAGAACAACTTCAGACTTGATCTGACTAATAAAGTATTATCGCATCTAATTGCATTTTGAATACTGCTCATCAAGATATCTTTGAATGTGAATTAAGAACTTTTCCATTGAGTCTGACTGACAGGATGTCTCTGTGTGTTTTTAAAAACAATTCCATAGCATCTGCGGCCCCCCCGCCCCCTCACTGTGGGATCAGGGAGGGGAGGCTTGTCCTGCTTCACTTGCCTTCATTAGGGAGGAGCAGTGACCGAGCCAGAAGCCAGCTGGGTGGGAGTCGCTCAGAGAGACGGAGGAATGCTCCATCAGGGCTTCAAAGAGAGAGAGTGAGAGTGAGGGGGGATTTATTTTTTAAGGAAATTCATTTTAAAGGAGGGGGTAGGTTGGGGAACGTTGAGGGGTTCAACAGTTCAACTACTTAATTTTTTTCTATCAGTGTTTCTGTGTTTTTTTTCTTCAGTTATAACCAGTAATCCAGAAAAACATTCCTACTGGTGAAGCGAAATATTCTATTGCAAACAATTATGTCCATTAAAACCCTAAAAAGAGTTGTAAAGTCATGAATTCATCATTGATGGATTGACGTTTTCTTATTTTGAAGACATTGTTGCCTTGATGATTTTTATATAAGTGATACATTTGCTTATTTTTTTAAGAAGAGTTCAAACCAGATAAAAACATTGTCAGACTGTGTTATTACAAATTACACATTATGTTCAATGTAACACCTCTTAGAAGGGAATTAAGTCAAAATGCTGTGTATTATAAGGTTTCTGTCATTACCCCCATCACTCGATTTTCATTGAAAATATTGTACCTTGTAAGAGTATTTTTTCTTTTATTATTGGGAATGGGAACAACCAAAACACAACCATCAAGATAATTCATTTTCTTTTGTTTTTATTTTTCATTGAACACATTTCATGCCCACTGACATTCATTCAGTTGAAGCGCCATTTCAAACTAAATGCACAAAATGACCATTAAACACAAAATCTTCCTCATATGCACACTTAGTACTAATAAAGAGATTTACTTCAAAAGGAGATATTCACTTAAAAAAACAGAGGTTTCTATGAAGTGCACCGAATAACTGAAACGTTGACTTTAACTAAATGTATTATAGATTTTCCAATACTGTATTAGGTTAGTTGAAAGCAATAATAATGCGTTTCAAAAAATTAGGTTCAACTTAATATTATTGCTTGGAACTAACCTAATACAGTTATGTTGTTAAATCTGTGTTTTCAGTGCAGATAAATAAAAGGCTTGGTTTGGACTATCAGTCATAATCTAAATCCTGGTTATTCCCTAATGTAAATATATCCTGTTTTGGAAGAAAAAAAACATGGAATGTAGATGTGCTGTACATGGTACGGCTTTACTTAAAACAACTCCAGTGTGAAATCACTACCATTCTGTGCAAAGCTGTCCTGTGGATGTCCTGCTGTTATTACAACACCATATCACAGTAGGTCTGTACAATACCATAATGAATTAAACAATGTTTGAATATGTGTCCTGAGGTTCTTCCTTTCATTAACCTCTCTTTGAAATACAGTCCTCACAAAGGCGTTATCTGTGTTTGATGGATGCAGGAAACAGGAAGGCACATACTGTCGTTTCATGTATTAAACCCTGCATGTAGCCAGTTGTAACAACCTCAGAGAGAGAAGCAGCAGTATGGATCAGTTTAAATGTACTGTAAATAAATATTTTGTATTTCCACTTGTGAACCATATCTAATTCCTGGATTTACAACAAAACAACAAGATATTAAACAGACAATAGATATCATGAATGGGGTCCACTCAGCTTTGAGGAACTTAGACCCGACCCAGGTACACATTTGGGCTGGGTCAAAATTATAAATGATAATTGTGAGGTTCACATTTTACGACCACAGGTCAGGGTCATTATGTCGAATACTACAAGTAGATCTGAATGAATCTGAGGGAACACAGTCCCCGTTCATCTCTCTTTTCTTCCAAAATAAATGTTTGCATGTCAGGCTTGTCAGCTTCCCACAGGCCCATTACAGTAAGACTCTTAGTCGATCTGGTCTGATGCTGGTTTTATTTAAACCATGGTAATGATGTGCTGCGATACCTCAGTCAGGTACATAACTGGGATGACTGAGGGCATTGTCATGTTTGAACAGGAATGGGTTTTACATTGGACAGGGATGTCTCCATACTTTAAGCCATATAGTGGATCTGATTAACCACATTTAAGCAATATAGGGTTAGTTGTACTAAATTGGATTATATAAATCAGAGATAACTGTAATATCTAGAAAATGATTGACATTATGTCAACCCATACCTAAAACATTACAGATCATGATGAAATTCATACATATTGCTCTTTTAAAATGGCATTCAATACTACTCTGAATAGTAATGACAAGAGTTTCTCTAATTCATATTTAGCTCTGACTTGCATGATACTTTCCTTTCACAACCGGTTCTATTTCATGAAATACAATACATGGGTAACATCAGAACCTTCAGTTTCCTGCAGCAGAGTCCTGGTTGTTCAGTTAGGAGCCCCGGGGAGGACAGAGTGAAAGGGGAGTGAACAGGGAGACTTCCTGGACTTCAAATGTGAGGGTAGTGCCATCTGACTTTAAGGACATTTCTTTAAATTAGATACAATTTAACTAGACTTTGCTGAATTCTCCTTTTTTCTAGACATCTGAAAAAAGTTATTTATATCCAAAAACACTGACAACTTACATACAGCATAAAACACAATCCTATTCTGTTCCCAGAGAAATGATTACAAAAAATACAGTGACTTTAACTTTTGCAGCAAATGATACACAACACAAACTGACAGCATTATTACACAGTGACCAATAATAGGCAGCCTGTACAGTGCACATTGACAATATATTACAGCAAATATACCGTTTCTGAGTCATTCATTCACATGTTCTGTTGGGGGTTCGGAGTCAGGCTCCATCGTATGAACTGTTTGCATGTCTTCATTCACAGACTGCAGAAGCTTAAATAAGGAGAAATGACCTTGTAACTGAGTACATGAACATTTTGTAAAAATTCAACATTTCTGATTCAGCAAAACAGAACATCAGGTTTGATTCACAAATACATTCCTTCTTCTGCTTCTTCACATTTTTGAGGCAGACCAAAAACACAGATGTAAAGTTAAAGGAGGATATCAGGGGCCAAACCCATTTTGATGAAAGAGTTGAAGTCATGTGGGATTAGCATTAGCAAGTGACCTCTAGCAGAACAGGATGTAAATGAGCGTCTGTTTCACAATAAACACACATATGTCTTGCATATGTGTGTTTAATAAGGATTGTGATGGTAAAGAAAGTGCGGCCCTGATAATAATAAGCCATTTTTACTCATGCAAATCAAACACTGATTCAACAACATTTTCCAATGTTTTCTTTTCCTGGTACACTTCTTTCTGGTGAAAACAGAATCAACCGTGGAATTGGAAAAGCAAGGTTTGGTTTTCCTGAATACTTGCCCCTTCATCATGTGGAGTTCAGTTTCAGAGTTGTCCAGCCAGTGCAACATTTCTTAAAATCCAAAATGACTTTTGTTCACATGGTCCTGACCTGATTTTAGTCCCAGGGGAGATTTCCTCAAGACTCAACTCTTCAAGGTCTAGAGTGAGAGCACCCCCCCCGACAGGGGAGCCTCTCTCTGGTCTTCACCTGTCCATCTGTGAGACCTTGACTTAAGCTGTGTTCCCAGGTGGAGGATCAGTCATTGATTTATCCTCCATGTCTTCCTCGTAGGGCAGGAGCCCTGTACACATCCTCTGGCCTCAGATCAGCCTCTCCTCGGGGGGCACTTTGAGGACACTGCCCATCTCCAGCCTGGCCCCAGCCACCTCCTGGGAGCTCGGGCTGTACGTGCCCTCTGACTGACGCTTCTTCCGCGCTGTCATGACCATGCAGAACACCACCAGGATGGCCACCAGCACACACAGCGTGGTGAGGGGGATGGTGACCACCAGCCAGGGGACGCGCTCCGTGTGCTCCTCTCTCTGCAGGAGGACAAGCGCACCATGTTTACAACATATATTGTACCCATCATTGATTGTCTATAATGTGTAACTATGGGTTTATTAATGGTTAATGAAGGATTAGTTCATGTGACAAAGATCTGTTAAAAGCAACCATTTGATTTCCCTGGTTTATTCTGCTCCAGCAAGTGTTGCTTTTTCTGTGGTGGAGCTGGACAGAGTACATCTATTTACAACTCATTTTATAGCTAGCCATTATGTTTGAAGTTCTACAGAATAATGTTTTGTTAATGAATTCATTTAAGTCCAGACGCTCTGACACACAAAGGCAAAGGTCAAGCAGTCCATTGTAATGGTCCTTCTGATGAACTAAACTGAAGACAATAAACCGGATATGAGAATATGGGACATTTGTATAATCAATCGGCCACAAAAGCGAGGTCAGAAACCCAACCAACGTTATATCATTTAAATAAGTTTCACTTTAGAGTATTCTTTACATTTATAAAGTAAGTGAACACGCTCACGTTGTAATATTAGTTTGATTATTGTGTTTAATTAGTAGAAGCCATTATAACAACACTTTATTGACATAAACCATAATGTTTTCTAACCTATTCAACTTCATTTATACAATGCTATTACTTCAATTAAGGGATTTTGAGCTCTCAATTGTAATTTCAAAATTGTATCTAGAACTTGTGAAATATTTTTACACTGGAAGGGGACATTATGGGATGCAGATGCTATATTCAGGGGTGCACATAACTTTCTCAGTGAGGTACTCAGATGAGTACCTGGAGTCAGTGTTTGGTACTCCAACTTCTGGCTCCCCTCAAAGTTCCCATGAAGCCCTCTGTATCGCGAATGTCAAGGGGGGGGGGGGGTTGGTAGTGGAGTACAGAGCTTCGTGACCACAGAGCGTGTGAACGTTGTGATCAGCTGTTTTAGCGCAGGGCTGCTGTACAGACCGACGTTAACAGCAGCCCTGTCTGTGCACACGGAGACCGACTCTGTGATCTAACCGCCTTCTGGAAAAGCTTCACAAGTACGTCGGTACGCAAATGCGCTTTGTGACACAAGTGACGGTACGCATTTCAGATTGTTGCCGCGCATGCGTACCTGCGTACCAGTTATGTGCACCCCTGGCTATATTGCTGTTTATGCACATTATGTATATCATGTTTTCCTTTTCTAGGCTTTAAGGGTACTTGAATATTAAACCCATTAAACCCATCACTCAGATTTACATTTTAAATTATCTTATTAACTTACGTTGTTCTCACACACTCTGCCACTGAAGCCCAGCACACACACACACTGGAAGTGGTTGAGTCTGTCCAGGCAGGTGGCCCCATTGAGACAAGGCCTGAACTCACACTCGTCTATTTCTGTCTCACACCTGAAACACATCACAAGGGATTAATACAATGCTGACTGAAGGGCAGCAGCTCTCACACACACAACACACACGTGTGTGTGTGTGTGTGTGTGTGTGTGTGTGTGTGTGTGTGTGTGTGTGTGTGTGTGTGTGTGTGTGTGTGTGTGTGGCTCACTCTCACCTGGCTCCAGTGTATCCTGGCTTGCAGGTGCAGTTGCCTCCTGAGTCCCCTCCTATACAAACCCCCCCATTAAGACACTTAGTGTCTGCATCACACGCCACTGGAGGGAAACGCCACCTGTTGGACACACACACATGAACTGATTATCACTCATGAATGTATGATTCTGTAAAAATCAATAAAAGCTATAGACACATATGCTCAGCACTTACTCAGACGGCTACCGTTAGACACCTTTACTCAAAGATATAAAACACTCGATCATCCATAGAGCCAGTACCCTCCTGGACTAAATTCTGTCCGCACTAGTAACCAGTGCATGCCAAGGTTCCTGACCGTCCATGCATCTTACACACATCTCTGATAAACAGCCTATCACTCGCATGTTTTAACAATAAAACAGGATGTGTGTTCAGTTTACAAGGATGTCAATGTACTGTTGAGAAAGTGTACTCACTGGCAGCGTTTTCCGACGTAGCCCCGAGGACATGAACATGTGTGAGCCTCCCCCTTGTCCATGCAGGTTCCTCCGTTCACACAACTGAACTCCAGACAGTTATCCAGCTCTTCCTTACAGTCTCTCCCTGTGTATCCGGGGTGGCAGTCACACTGGTAGTCTGCCAGAAGGTCCTTACATGTACCGTAGCCACAGGGACTTGAAGAACACTCATTTACCTCCAACTCACACAGCTCCCCCTCCCATCCTGCACTGCAGCTGCAGTTAAACTCATTAAACTGGTCCTGACACACACCCTGGTTGAGACAGGGCTGGGAATCACAAATCGGTGAACCCTGGCATCCTATGATTGGCTCGTGCCCACCCAGTCTGGAGAACCGGCTCATCTGCGGGGCGTCTGGTACGTTAATGAGTGGCAGGTAGACTCCCCCCACCCTCACTTCCCCTAAGCATCCAGTGTATTTTTCAGCCAGCCACACATTGGTGTCATTGAGGAAGTTGAGGTTGCCACCAACGCCGAAGCTACCCCCCAATCTCTGCCCGTCGACGGTGAGGCGCCAGCGGGACACTGAGTGTGTGGGCTCCACCATGGTGAGCTGGATGTGATGCCATGCTCCGTCTGCAATCACTCTGTCACTTGTGAAGGCCAGCAGCTCAGCGCTCGCCCCACTGTCCAGTTTGACCAGCAGGGAGGAGTTGAGCAGCCCCAGGCAGAAGACCTCCGCTCTGCTGGCGGCCCGCAACAGGATCCCGTTCTCGTCACGTGTCCGTATGTCCATAGTGATGTCGGTCACTGGGCTCAGCAGGGAGCTGTTGGCAACATACTGAAGAGCATTGTCCTGAAAAATGGCTTCAGTCAAACCTGTGGGAGGGGGAAATGAACAGTTTGAAAAAGTTTGAAAAACCAAGACCAGTGAAACGCTGAGTCACATAGAGTTATTTTTTTCACGATTGATGCATTGATTGGAAAACCACCTACTGATCCGCTGTCTCTTTAAGTACTTTTGATGTAAGATGTGTGTTATTATTGTTAAAGGGTTCATCTTTGTGAGGGTGCTAGTGGACTAAACGGTAGGGATGGGAATGATTAATCGAATATTCGAATATTCGAAATTATTCAGGTATTCGAATATGAGAATATGAGTTATGAGTATTTTTATTATTATCTTTTTTTTTTTTTTTTGGGAGGGGTGCCTAAGTTGATTACATATTATCAAATGGAATAATTCAATGTATACGACAGTGCCATAGCTAAGTGTGTTAGGTCTAAAGGTGTGTTTTGCTCCGCTCACCGGTCCCTCACAGCGGGCAGAGCTGCAGGTGCTGATCTCTCTCTCGCGTCCGGTTATACTTCACTCACGTTTATGTCCAAATCCATCAGATCTAGCTAGTTCTAGCTAACGATATGGCTGCTGCCCCTCCCTACACGCAGATCACGCAGACTCAAACCTCATCTTATGCCCAAATTCCAGCTGAGAGGGTCTTCTCTACAGCTGGCCTGATTGTGAATCGTCTCCGCACCCGCCTCTCCCCTGAGCATGTAGACATGCTCATATTCTTAAAGAAGAATGAGTATTGAGTAGCTGCATTCTGTGCATAGGCCCTGTTATAGGTTGTTGATCTCTGTTGTGATAGGGTTACGTTACCCTAACCCGTTATGTTGTTTGTGTATGATCCCTCTTTCATTTAAAAAACAAGTTATGTTTTAAGCATGAAAGCTGTAGGCCTATAGCTGTCAACTGTTCAAACTGTGATCACCAGTTCAATACATTTGACAAATTCGACTTGGTTTCTATATTTATTTGAACATGTGTTTGAACATGTGTTTATTTTTTTGTGGATATGTACATTTCGGTTAATCGGTTAACCGTTTTTTTGGGAATATTGAAATATACATTTGCTTTCAAATTCCCATCCCTACTAAACGGCGTATAAACTGTGGCGCGCTTACACTAATTGCGCCGCATAAGCGTATAATAGTGCGCCGCATTTGCGCTTCAGATGAGGAGGTGAGGCCCCCGCATAACTGCATGAACCCGTATGGCACAATACAACTCAGACTGGCTTACCTGTATGTCAATCAAGTGGAAAATGCCATAGTAAGGATGGATGATAGGCTAACTTTAAAAAGACAAAAGGTAATTACTTACTTGCCGATTTGGACAATTTTGGAATAGTTTGGTGGGTTATTGCTGAATCAATTTCTGACATTTTCAGGAACCAAAATGGCAGTATAATCAGAAAGAGGCCATATTTGTAGCATCCGGCAGTTTCTATGTGCTGGGGACCCCTACTATACATTTCTAACCAACACACTCTCACTCCATAAACGTCCAGGAGCGACGCTTGGTCAGGGTCCCGTGGCGTGCAGTTGGGACGCTCCTAGGCTCCTTCAGCTTCATAAACAGACGCAAATAGCTTTCAACTGATTGCAATGTATTCCCATCTGCGGCGGGATTTGACGCTCATGGAAGCACCGTATCTCTGTATGTCGGCGGCTGTTAAAGGCAATGTGAGTGTCCATTCCCATTGGATAACGGAGAATTGTACACCCGGAAGTAAGTATTCCCCTTACTGTCGATTGATTTGACAGTGATATCTCCACTACTCATCAACTCAAAAACACCAGATTATCCTTGTTAATTAAACAACATTGATAGGTTTTAGTGTACAATGCTTTTGTCACGTTTTCCCCTTCAATTCTGAGAAACAAGTCGGATTTGGCCCGCGAGCCGCCAATTGAATAGCCCTGATCTACATACATCTTATAAGAGTATAATACATATGTATAATATCAGTTCAAATAAGTGCTTCAACATTTCTCAACCTCAACGAGAGCAAGACTGAGGTCATCTTTTTTGGACCCCAACCTCCAGCCTCTCCGGTTGATATTCTTGGCTCTCTCAAAAAAAACATCCTCCCCTCGGTCATGAACCTTGGAGTGACCTTCACTAGCACTTTTAAATTCGACAAGCAGGTCAGCACTGTAGTCAAATCCTGCTTTTTTAAAATAAGACTATTGGCCAAAACCAAGTCGTATTTATCTTTTAATGACTTAGAAAGGGTTATTAACGCCTTTGTAACCTCGAGACTGGACTATTGTAACGCTCTGTATGTGGGTATGGACCAGGCCTCAATTAAACGCCTGCAGCTAGTCCAAAACGCTGCTGCACGTTTGCTGACTGGCCACAAAAAGCGTGACCACATCACCCCAATTCTGGCCTCACTACACTTCAAGGTTCAAGGTTCTTTAATGTCAATCTGACATAGCTACAGAGTAATTATGCAGTTGAAAATCTTATGTCACAGGCTTCTCCAACAATGCAACATAATAACATAACATAATAACAATAAGAGCAAGAGCAATACAAAAATAATAATAGTTATAAAAATGAAATAAAGTTATGATGTGGAATAGTGCAGTATGAGTCTATATACAAGTTATTGGAATGATATATATATATTAGGTATTAGATACATACTACTGAGTAGCAGTTGAATGTTTGAAGTTGTTTCAACAGTTCAATTTTTTAACAGTCTCACTGCCCGCGGGAAGAAACTGTCTCCGAATCTTCTTGTCCTTGCCCGGATGCTGCGGTAACGTCTGCCAGACGGCAACAGAAAGAACAGTTTGTGGCTGGGGTGATGGGGGTCTTTGATAATCCGTAGTGATTTCTTCCTGAGCCGCTGGGAGTAAAGGTCCTCCATGGATGGCAGCTCCGTCCTGGTGATGTGCTGTGCAGTTTTCACCACCCTCTGTAAAGCCTTACGATCGAGGTCGGTGCAGCTGCCGTACCAGGCCGTCATGCTGCCAGTGAGGATACTCTCTATCGTGCACCTGTAGAAGTTGCAGAGTATCCTGGAATCCATTTTGAACCTCCTCAGCCTGCGGAGGAAGAAGAGCCGCTGTCGAGCTTTCTTGGTGATGGTGGTGGTGTGAAGAGACCATGTCAGGTCCTCAGTGATGTGGACCCCAAGGAACCTGAAGCTTTTGACTCTCTCCACCGTAGTCCCATTGATGGCGATGGGGGCGTGTCCCTCTCCCTGCTGCTTCCTGTAATCCACAATCAGCTCCTTTGTTTTGCTGATGTTGAGATGGAGGTTGTTCTCCTGGCACCAAGATGTCAGGTTTTCGACCTCCTCTCTGTATGCCGTCTCGTCATCGTCTGTGATCTGGCCGATGACGGTCGTGTCATCAGCAAACTTCACGATGGTGTTGGAGCTGTGTGTGGCCACGCAGTCGTGGGTGAACAGGGAGTAGAGGAGAGGGCTGAGCACGCAGCCTTGAGGGGCACCGGTGAACTGGCTTCCAGTTCGGTTCAGAATTGATTTTAAAATCCTTTTATTTGTTTTTAAAGCACTAAATGGGCTGGCTCCGGCCTATATAGCTGAACTGCTCCAGCGCTACACCCCAGCCAGACCTTTAAGGTCTGCTGACCAGCTGCTGCTGGTAGTGCCCAAGACCAGGCTAAAAACCCGAGGGCACCGAGCCTTCGCAGCAGCTGGCCCTAGGCTCTGGAACACTCTGCCCCTCCATGTGAGGTCGGCCCAGACCCTAGGGGGTTTTAAATCTACACTAAAAACACACTTCTTCTCTCTGGCCTTCTAGTTAGAGCGGAGCACGACTCCTGACTTTTCCTTGTGTTTTTTTTTAATTTTTTATATATATCCGTTGTAATTTATTGTCTTTTATTGTGATTGTAGTAATGTGTTTTTATTACATGTACAGCACTTTGGCTCGACCAAAAATCGCTTTTAAATGTGCTATATAAATAAAACTTGATTTTATTTGATTTGATTTGAACATAGTTAACATTGCTGAGAGAAAAGCAAGCACACTCGGAATAATGTATTATTTTAATTTTTTTAAATGTTTTCGGATTTCACATTGCATAAACACCAAATCCCAGCGTGCATTGCGGTTAAACCATCCAATAATCGAGCTGAGGATCTTGCCTATGTCTGTTTCCGGTTTCGTTTATGAACGATGTATTTTGTTATACACACATTCCTTCACATTTAAATTTAAATTTACATTAAAGTATTTTGTGAGGCCTTCTAACATGTTTTTAAATATAACTACGGTTGTAGTTGAAGAGTTTGTAAATTAACATGAACCGAAGCTGTTGCCTGTTGCAATATATAGTCTATGGTTGGTACAGAGGATTGTGGGTAATGTAATGTCTTCGGCCATCCAAAACTCATAGAAAACGACTTGTTTCTCAGAATTGAAGGGGAAAACGTGACAAAAGCATTGTACACACACTAAAACCTATCAATGTCGTTTAATTAACAAGGATAATCTGGTGTTTTTGAGTTGATGAGTAGTGGAGATATCACTGTCAAATCAATCGACAGTAAGGGGAATACTTACTTCCGGGTGTACAATTCTCCGTTATCCAATGGGAATGGACATTGCCTTTAACAGCCTCCGACACAAACGAATGCCGTGCTTCCATGAGCGTCAAATCCCGCCGCAGATGGGAATACATTGCAATCAGTTGAAAGCTATTTGCGTCTGTTTATGAAGCTGAAGGAGCCTCGGAGCGTCCCAACTGCACGCCTCGGGACCCTGACCAAGCGTCGCTCCTGGACGTTTATGGAGTGAGAGTGTGTTGTTCTAACATAAAACTTTGTGGTAGTCAACATTTCTTTTTTAAAATACAAGTGATTCAAAAAGCTACTGATGAGCCATGATTTGACATCCTTCTGTAATTAAACATGATGTGTTATCATGATCACTGGAAAAAGCAACTGGTATCTGTTTATCAAATCTGTTGTCAGTGTCTAGTCTCTCTGCTTCCTGTTACCATTTCGTTTCTGCTTCTTGGGAAAAGCCTCAACCATCATTTATATTTATTCATTTACAGGGACAGAGCACATTAATAAACATTTGTGCCAGAGTTAGCCAAGAGGCTATTTTTCATCTGTAGTCCCTGAACAATCTTTCTATATATTTGTTCTTTCTGTATTTTAGTAGGATAATCTTTCTGCTAGCTGAGACTCTTTAGGTCGTGGAGTATATTTACTTTCTAAGGATGGCTTTAAATGGCCTTTCAGAAATGTTTCAAGACTGTAAGTCTAATTAAGAAATGAAGAGCTAAACAAATGAATGTGGCCTGACCTGACTCCACCTGTCCTTCCCTGATAAAGAATGATTTCAGTCAAAGGATTACTTACACTCATACCCATCCTGCAGGTCCACACAGCGCACCCTTTCAGAGCAGGGGTGGTCCACGCACCACAGGCGGGTCTCACACAGGAGGCCAGAGTACTTCATGGAACAGTTGCACTGGAAGTCATTCCAGGTTATTTGACACTGTCCACCGTTTAAACAGGGCTGATCCTGTGCACAGACAAACACAAACAAATGGATTAGATGATTACCTGTAAAATCTCTCACCTGATGCGACGGCAGAGGTAAAAGCTGCAGAGAGGATTGAGCGGTAAATTACAGATCAAAGGAACACAACCAGATCAATGTTAATAGGGTTGAGGCGACCCAGCTATCAGACAGCACTGCAAGGCGCTAACACAATTAGCATCTGTTCAGAGTTAGAGCTACACGCTGGCAAAACATAATAGTGTTTATCTGGGGATTTTTACTAAAACTGTATTAGCCAGACAGTTTTGTCAGTCACTGATCTTTGGATAACATGCATTTGTTGCTTTATCACATAATGTAGCCCTGCTAAAATGGCTCCAGAAGTGGCAAGATAGGTTTGTCAGTCGACCACTTACCAAACTGACATTTCTGAAAAATGTAAGCTGCGATTATACGATAAGATACGATACAATAATACTTTATTGGTCAGATCAAGTCTGAAATTTGACTTGCATCACAGCAGCTCCATGTGTAACATCAACATCAAGATAATACATGAAAAACAAGCAACAAACATTTAACATAACAGCACAATCACTGAGAGAAAACCTGCTCAAAGACGTGCATTTGATCTGGGATTCAGCTCTGTATTTACTGTGAGGATTGACTGATGCACAAAGGATTCTTCAGTCTGACTTTATTGAATCGTGGGACCCTGTATCTCCGATGAGATGGTAGCAGTTCATATTCACTGTTCAGAACATGCTTTGGGTCAGAGATGATGTTGTTGGACAGCCTCACTAGGTTGTTATGATAGGCTGAGTCATAGAGTCTCTGACAGGGTTGACCAACAATCTTTGAGCAGATTTTTAACAGATGGAGCAGTTTTGATTTTAAAGCTGCTGACAAACATTTGTACCAGGTAGTATTGCAGTACTGTAGAATGGACATGATCACAGATGTAAAGAACAACAGGATCATTTGTCTGCTCGCCCCAAAAGACCTAAGACGGCGGAGAAAATAAATTCTTTGTTTTGTCCTTTTGCACAGATATTCAATGTGATCCTTCCATGACAGCAGATGGTCAATCATTACACCCAAGTATTTGTATGCAACTCCCTGCTTGATTTCATCTGTATGGATGACAATGGGGACTTTATGGGAGTCAGATGGAGCCAAAAATAACAACAAGAGCATTGCTATCAGTCCACTCGACCACCTGATCTACAGCCTGTTGGTGCAGCTCAGGGTCGTCTGTGTTACTGAGCAGAGATATTAATGTTGTATCATCGGAGTACTTAATGATGAATTGGTTTTGTGTGTTGGTAGAGAGTGAAGAGCACAGCTGAACTCACGCAGCCCTGGGGGGCACCTACATTGGTTGTGATGGCAGATGACAGGGTTTTGTTCCCCTTCACACATTGCTCTCTACTAGTGAGGAAAGCGGCATACCAGTAAATCAGGTATGGATTTACTTCCATTTTGGCCATTTTTGACACCAAGATGTCTGCTTGTATTGTGTTGAATGCTGATGAGAAGTCTAGGGAGAGGGCTCTTGCATAGGTGTTACGTTTATCTAAATGTTTAGTGATGATGTGAACCAAAGTGGCCACAGCGTCTTCCGTACCGCACCCTTGTTTATAGGCAAATTGGTATGGATCAAGTTTGTCTTGTGTTGTACTGATAAGAAATCTGAGCAGAATTCTTTCTAGTGATTTCATAATCACTGAGGTGAGGTCTATTGGTCTGTAGTCCTTATGTTCTTTTGGGCATGGCATTTTGGGAAGTGGTTTTATGTGTGAAGTTTTCCATGACAGAGGGATGGGCGTGTCCATGGAAGCCTGAAAGATGCGTTGCCACACTGGAGCCAGCTCAGTAGCAACGTTTTTCAGCAGAAAACCGCTGCACCCTTCTGGCCCAGCCGCTTTCTTGGTGTTGGTGTACTGAAATGTTTTTCTGACCTCTTCGACACTGATGGTCATTTTGTCAGAGGAAGCAGGTATTATGGTTTCGAGAATTTCAGTGCACTTTGCAGAATTATCCAGTGACTCGAAACCGGTAAAGAACGTTTTTAGTTAATTGGCAAATACAAAATGCATTGTCCGTCACAATAGGTTTAGCTGAAGATGTCCTTCCTGTCATGATTTTCATGGAGTCCCACACCTTTTGGGGGTTTTAGGCTTTAAAAGCATTTTCCAAAAGCTCTCTGTGTGCCAATTTGACTTTCAGTTCTTTCTCTGTTTTAAGTGCTCCATAATCTTTGTTTTATGTGATACAGATCCCAGATAATTAATTAAAATGACTCTTATGATCTAATTCAATTCCAATTACCCTGAGCTTCACTTTGGAAATGTGCTAACATAGCATGGTAACATCTAGTACTTGTATATTAACACACTGAGCTTTTTGTGGTGTTGCAAAGAACGTCTGAGCAAGTTTACAACGGAGCCTGTTGACATACAGGTTGAACTGATATAATGCTGCTTTGTTAAGGTCACAACACAGCTGTCAGGGTAAAAGTCTCCACAATGCTCTCTACAATCACATGATCTTGAGAGTCCCCAATCATGACCATCAGCACTAACACTGGCTGTCACTATATTGTTTTACATACTGTACCATGCCCATTCTGTTACATTCATATTCATGCTGTTATATCTATCTATTCTTATTCTTAAACATATTTACAATTTGTAATCACCATACAATACCCTCATGTTTATATATGATCTTTATTTGAGTTTTATCATGCACTTTTATTCTGAGACAGGAATTGTTTATTAATGTATGTCAGCTTATATTTTCAAATTCTTTGACCATATGTATAGCTTCTTAATATTTAGGTGTGGAGAGCTGAGCATAAGAATGTTGGTGCAACTGCCCGTTATGCTGTACATGAGACAACATATCTTGAATCAAAGTGTACATTTCTCTTTTACCTTGCATGTGTCATCACTTTGGCATCCTGGCAGCACGTTCTCCATTGTGCTGGCCTGGTAGACCTCCACCCCCTCTGGAAGACCCTCAGTGGTCAGATGCTTGTGGTCCAGCCGGATGTCCTGCAGGCAGCCCTTCATATTTCCACCCCAGGCATTCATGCTCATGCCTGAAGGGAGCCCCCCCACATATGCCACATCCCCTGCCTCTACACTCACGTTCCCTAGGGCACGATGATTCCCTGCTTTGGGGAAGACCACATGGCCATACTGTACTTGTACAGCTACTAAATAATTGTTGCCGTCAGTGACGAGCTTGGCCTCTGAGAGCAGGGTGGTGTGAGGGCTGTAAATAGCAACAGTGCCCTCCTTCAGATAAAGGGTCAGGTAGGGCTTTCCTTCTCGACGAAGCTGCAGGAGCAGACCATTGTGTTTGAGCGAGCGCAACAAAAAGGAGATGGTGAAGTTTTCTCCATGGGTTTCCGAGATGTTGTAGCTGACGTAGCTGGTGGTGTTCTCATGACTGAAGGTCCAGGAGGGATATTCTGAGATGGGAGGGGAAGCACAACGTTGTCAGTGTCTTATCCCAACACACTGGCACATGCTACACCTGAATCAGCAATGCTGTATATCTGTTCACTCCAGCAATCCATATTAACATACAAAGAACTACTTGTCAGGGTACTACTCGGTTGTATCACATTGTTGCGAGCCCATGGAGGAGCATTTTCACCACATGACCCTTGTGCTGGGCAACATTTTAAATAAGTGCATTCACTAGGAGTTGCATCATGGGAAGTGGTGGATCCAGTGCTTCTGAAGCTTGACCCATAATGCATGGAATCAATCTTGTGATATCTTGCTGTGTTCATTTGTATGACTCATGTAAACCACATTCATTTACTTTGCCCTAAATACAGACAACTCAAATATATGTTATGCCCCTCCTCTATGGCAGTGCAATACTTGATTGGGGCGTAGTATTTTACCACATTGTGCAGATTTTCAGTGGCAATCTTTTGTATATCTGATTGAAGAATTGCATGTTATGCACTCGCATAACAAATCATATTTATATTTCGTTTTTTATTATTGTTTTAGCACCAAGCAGCAGTAAGTGTTAACTCTATGGAAGAGGTAGAGAAGCTCAGAATGGAATTTTTGATTTTATTAATATATTTTAATTAGTCACGCCTTCACTAAAAAACAGGACCTGAAAGTACACGAAACCATGGTAAATATTTACTGTAGGGAATGACTCCCACCTAAAGAAGCATTCCAACAGTTCCTCCTACACACAGTCTTGGAAATCCTCTCTGATCAGCAGTAGTCTACCTGATGTTTCTGTTCTACAAGTAGAGAGTGTTCCTTTAAACCTATAAAGTATGCTGTTAGTACTCTCACCTTTGTCACAGCTTCCTCCATAGTAGGGGCGATGACACTGACAGCTGGGACGGACCCACATGTCCACACACTGCCCTCGCTGCATGCATGGGTCATCTTCACACCAATCTTTTTTGCTGCATCCTATTTCCAACCCCTGGTTCTCCTCTCTAATGAGATCCTGAGGAAGAAGCAGCTTGTGATCAACTTGAAAGTCTTCCATGCAGCCAATGAACGCCCCTCCACTGGACGTGTAGGCTAAATATTCCTGTGGCACCCCTCCAACATACAGCTGTGGAAAGGAGCTGGGCTGGACAAACATCAGATGGTTGTAGACCTCATTTTTTACCAGGCACCCTTCCTCACAGCCGGGTCCTTTTACAACCATGACCAGCCTCTCATCCATGGTGACAGTGGCCTGGTGCCACTCCCCGTCATTGACTGGGCCGGGGTAAATGACTTGCAGTACCTTCCCTGACTTCACCCTGGCCTGAAGGGAGCCTCCAACAAGCTCCAAAGAAATGAAGCGCTCAGTGGAGCCCCGGTGGTACAGCACCATGTCGGGCAGAGTGCTCCTGAATCGAACATGCATGTGGAGCCCTTGGTTTCTGTCTTTCGCCTCTCTCTTTGTTCTGGTTTTGGAAACAGGCAGCTGCATGTGGATGTAGCCCTCTGAGTTGAAGGAGAAAGTGGTGGAGGTGTTGCAGCGTTCTCCAGTCCAGCCAGGCGGACACAGGCAGGTGTAGTTGTGTTCTTCGTCATCAGTCAGCACAGGGATGCAACCCGCTTTATGTTGGCACTGGTGCTGTTTGCAGCCCTCCAGACGGACGTCACAGTCCCTCCCACCCCAGGGGTCATGGCCTGGCTCTGGGACGGGGCACACACACCTGTAGGAGTTGGCAAAGTCTTCACACGTGGCACCATTCTGGCATGGATTGCTGTCACACTCGTTGATGTCCACCTCACAGTGAACTCCTACATAGAGAGACATGCTCATTTAGTAACAAAACTTACTTCAACAATACTGATTCAACTTTTTGCTGGAAGCAAAAACACACATGGATAAAAACAAATCTGTGTGAGAAAAGCATTATTTGATCAAATTTAAAATCACATAAACCCGTTTTATCCACTACAGAGAAATACACAAATAGCTCTGAGAGTCAAAACATAGTTAACCTTATGTGATACAGAGCTTAGTGTGCACGTATACAGATAAACAGGCAGGCTTGGTCGAGGCAAGTCATTCCCTTTCCCATCAGTCACAGGATATGAGGAAATTAGTGCAGGAAATAGCCATTAATTGCACAGTTAAAGGATCATTTGTTTTGATTTATGCAGAGTTTTGAAACGCAATTGAATCCAAAGTCTATCATACTGATTGAATTAGCCAGACATTGACACACACACACACACACACACACACACACACACACACACACACACTGATATTGCAGTCTGCCTGGTTCAGTAGTCTCAGTCACCTTACCGCATTCAGCATAAGCCCTGGCAGCAGTCAACTTGCATTAACAAAGTCCTTTAAAATACTCTACACCCAAGGAACCCTACAGCTGCCGTCCCCTATGTGCAAGGACTCTACCCAACATACAAAGGCATGCAACTTTCTAAATGTAAATATATGAATGTAGTGTACCCTACTGTACCTGTCAGCCACCAGAGCCCCCAGCAGCACAGCAGCATCAGCCTGTGCCCCCCCATGATCCTCTGAGTGAACAGCCAACACACTGAGAAACACCACCCACTCTGCTCCCTCCCAGAGCAGCAGTGCCTTCACTCCTCCACTCTGTACCAGGCAGAAGTGAGTTAAATGCAGCCCTGCCCACCTTGGCTTCTCCTCCTGACTCCTTCCCTCACCCCCCCTGCTCCTCTCCTGTCTGCAGCCCAGCCCGGACAGAGCAGTAAGCCTGCAACCTGAAGCTGGCTCCTGTCAGTGTTTGACAAGAGGAATGCAGTGCTGCATCCCCCCCACGTCCATGTGCTGGCCTGTGAATGCCCACCGGGGTCAGGAGCTGCTCCAGAGAACCTGCAGAGGGCGCTGCAGGCTCAGGGTTCCAGCCTGAGCAGGCTGCACCGTGCATGTTACCCAAATGTATCTTTTTTTAAGGTTTGCATAGCAGTCAGTCAGTCTTATGCAACATTGTGTTTGATTATGTCACTTAAGATGCATTGCCTTTAGAAAGACTTCAATCTTATCAGAATATACATTGTACCAGAGGTGGGAAGTAACTAAGTACATTTACTCAAGTATTGTACTTAGGTACAACTTTGAGATACTTGTACTTTACTTAAACTTACTTACATGTTATACTACTTTGTACTTCTACTCCATTACAGTTCAGATGTAAATGGTGTACCTTTACTCCACTACATGTATTTAATACCTTTAGTTACTTCACAGATGTGGATGAATGATGTGAAATATAATCAAGTGTTAAATCAGACTTTAGTTCCACCTGGAGTAAATTCACAAGCTACCCTGCAGTATACAAAGTCATTCAAACTAGCTGCACCTTTACCAGCTTTGAGAACACTTTCATGATCAATCATTATAAAACATATCATATATATTATTCTGAAATGGACCAATCTGCACAATGACTACTTTTACTTTTGGTACTCTAACTATATTTTGATGCATAATACTTGTGTACTTTTACTTGAGTAACATTTTGATGGCAGGACTTTTACTTGTAACAGAGTATTTTTACACGCTGCTACTTCTACTTTTAATTAAGTACAAGATCTGAGTACTTTCCCACCTCTGCATTGTATACTATGTGTTCCCTTCAATTGTTAAGTCATTTACAGTTTTTCAGAAAAAAAGAAACATTTCAGAATTAGCTTTTCTCAAACTAACATGTTTCTTTAATGCTCCTTTCTTTACATAATTGATCTTGGATTTCTTCTGACGTAACAATATTAACACGTATCTGGTGATATAAATGTTTGAGTTTTATACTAAAGCCTTCAAAAGAACATTTACATTCTGAGAGAACCAGCACATGCATCAGCAATGATTGGGTTGATAAGATGGCATAAAAAAAGCTAGGAGCTAGACATGTGAAGATGATCTAAAAGCATACACCTGTTGCTGACTATGTGATGAGCAAACCATAGTATTTGACCAAACTAATTACCCCAACCTAGGCATTTATAATACAAAATATCCTGCATCATCTTTCACAAACTCTGTATCCTCACTCTATAAGCATGGGTAGTAGCATGGCTCAGGTGCAAAGAGGGCACACGAAGGATCCATCTTTCCTGGCTTAGCTGTGACCTCATGCACGTGGAAAGTTAACCTCTTGCACACGTGCCATACAAAGTTAATAGGATCATATTTTGAGCCACATCTGAACTCGCTGTCAGAAGTACTGCATACTGTATGTTTACTGTGCACCATACCAGAAATATGAAGTGCATATCATTTAGAAGAAAAAGCCTTGTTTTGCTTACAATGGTTTTTTTTCATCAGTCTTTAATGAGGCTCCTAAGCAGCTTTGCTGTAATCTCCCCTCCCCCTGAAACATTTCTGAGACCCCAGTTTAATACCCAACGAGGACGCCTGGCATATGGCACCTTTTATTGGCTTTGTTGTTTTCTATGCTCCTCCGTACCATATGCCCTCTTACACACCCCCCCCCCCCCCCCCCCCCCCCCCCCACATCACATGGCCATAATACAATTAGCAAATGAAATTAGCTTCCCATGTTGTTGATGAAAGGCTAGCTGAATAGCACACTTCTACATCCAGATTGTGCGTTTTAAGGTCAGTTATCGGTGCGTTTCCTCCTTCCTCCTCCTGTTTTGAGTGATGCGGTGACGAATCTCCCTGAATGAGGAATGAATACCTTGGCTGGCCATGAGGAATGGCAAGCAAGAGGAAGATTAACCCTTTGTTGTTGGGCCAGAACTGGAGATTCTGAGAACTGTTGGTCATTCGACTTCGACATGGGAACATCCTGGAATAAAGATCTTTCTTTCCTTCAGAGTTAAGTTATTGTGAACTTAATCTTTGTATTTATTTTTTCATTATTTTATTTATTTATTTACTTGTAAAGCGTCTTTGAGCACCAGGAAAAGAGCTATTACCATGTATTATTATTATTATTATTATTAACGGTGAGCCAAACCAGCTCAAAAGCAATAATTGCTATTACCTAATAACTTTAAATACAATAAAAACAGGTTAAAGACAGTTGGCTTGTCACATGGAAAAAATCTACGAAATTAGACATTAAATCGAATTGGGTCTGAAAGCACATCATTAAAAAGGATGTTATAAAAAATATCCCAAAAAATAAAATACGATGTCTGTGATTTAATCTGCTAATAGCTTACTTCGAAAAAACTTGAAAATCTGCATAGAATGAATAGCGGTAAAAATAAGTAGTCACTGTGACGGCCCGTCCACACAGCAGCGTTAAAAAAATCTTCCAACGCTTCTGCCCATTCACTTTGCCTCACTTTTCACCGAACTGCATTGTGGGAAGCAGAGCGGAGATTTCCAGGCATCTCAGGGTTCAAAAGTTGAGCAATGTTCAACTTTTGAAGCTGAGGTGGAAGCGTCAGCCAATCAAATCCCGTTTATGCAAATCTGACAGTACAAGCGCTAGCCAATCAAACCGTGTGTATGCTGGGAGAGACATACCGCAGGTCATTTCCTCATATTCCAAAACATGGAGGAGAAATTAGCAGTAGGGAATCACCCGGTGCTTTATGACCAGTCCCTATTTACCTACCGGGATATAAACCGGAGGAGCCAGGCATGGAGGGAGGTGGCAGAGACAGTGGTAGGTTTTCGCCTGTTTGGGGAGTTTATATCCAGTTTACTTCGGGCTTTTTTGCTTCGTATGTCGGGGGCGGGAGATTCATGTGATTGGTTGTTGGTCGCATTGCTCGCAAAAAATCCCCAAGCTTCAGATACGCCCACCTCCAAGATTTTTTTAACGCTGCTGTGTGGACGCTCCGTGACATAATTTATTGGTTTGTGCACTACCGTTGTGAAGTCTTCAGTTGAGCATTTCCCACAAGAGAGGGGTGTTAAGTACAACCAAATGGACAACAAGACATTATGAGGTTAAGATAATGTTATAATTACCTTACATAAACTGAAACACACTTTAAAAGACTAAAGGCAAGACAAAACCACAGAGAGCACCCAGACTGGACAACAGCGAGTAGCCCCGCCCTAAAGCATGCTTTACTGTCTATTTTACTTTGGGATCATGGTCTACTAAATGCACATCATGCTGTATTTAAGACAGCTTGAAAATGCGATTTTGACCTTAAAGTCTTTAGTACAAGCTTCCACTGAACTTCTTTTTCCAGTGGACTCTCCTCATGTGGCCATAAGAAAGGTCTAAGGCACTTCCGCACTGGCCTCACATTTTAGACCCTGAGGTCGTAGTATGGGGTAATGAGACGATAACCATTTTATTCCCTTTTCTTAAACATTGATTCAAATTTCAAATCAAAGCTCAGCTTCATCGATATACCAAGGGACACTCGTTTTCCTTTAACAACAGTCTGTCACTAAAGTGTTGGTCTGAACAGCCAAGTCTTCATTTGCAGTCATGTTCGTCCTCTGAGTCAGCATCACATCTGTACAAGCTCAATTACCACACGCACATGCAGCAACTGATATCAGGGAGTACCTGTCCTGTACTGCAGTCAGTGAGGATGAGTAGTACCAGCGACAGGACACACCTCTGCGGGGGACTCAGGAGGAAGAGCAGTTTGTTTATTAGGAGATAGGAAAGCAGCAGTCAGAGTGTATTCTTACCTGTGAAGCCGTCTGGACACACACACTGATAAGAGTTGACCAGATCCTGACAGGTTCCCTCATTGAGACATGGAGCAGACTCACACTCGTCCACATCGACTGAGCAGTTGTCTCCTGCCAACAGAACGCATTAATGGGATTCATATTTCCTTGTCACTCAGTCATGAAATAATATTGCAAGACAGTGAAGAGTTCATATTGGGAACTGTCTTACCAGTGAAGCCCGGCAGACAGCGGCAGATGAAACCGGCGGCCTCTTCATAGCTGAAATTGGCTTTGCTGAATTCAGGCAGGGAGCCATAGTTCAGGATATCTGAGCGCTGGAAACACTTGCCACCATTCTCACAGGGATGATGCTCACACTCATCTGTATCCACCTGGCAGTTCTCCCCCTGGTAACCTAGACACAAATGCAAACATAAACACAAACCCACGTTCAAATGCCCATAAGTATGTTGAAAGGGTTAATTAATGGTCTGATGAAATGTTGTTGACAAAATGTGACTGCCATGATGTATCCCTTTGAACGGAGCTGTTAACTGAAACACAAAGAGGGAATTGAAACTTGGAAAGACAATGTATAACTTTACTTTAGCAAGTTTTTTAAAAAGTGACTTGCTAATTATTTGGTAGAACTATATTTTTTACAACAAAATATGAGTGGTTTTCAAGTGTTTTTTTGTTGTTGTCTTTGCCACGTAAAAAATGAAATAATAAAAGCAAGAGAAATTCAGTAATAGCTAATGAGAAAGCTGGCTAAGCATTGGATGTGAAGTGCTATGTATGTGTCCATTTGTCCTTTATAGCCAGTATACACTTTTTCATCATATTTCATTTAGGTGACGCCTGCATCCATTAAATTACTTGTTACGATGACTTCAAGCACACAATACATAAGAATAAACACCTGAAGATTTTTTATTTATTTTTTATATCCACCTGTGATATCTATCAAGGTACTTATAGGATATGCACACAGCAAAGAGTACACACACACACACACACACACACACACACACACACACACACACACACACACACACACACACACACACACACACACATCCTAATAAGCACATTTGTGACAGCGGCAATCAGACGAGGACTGCTGACATCGTCAACTCTCCCTGTCGCTGTGTGCTCATACATCACTTTTCATAATTCAACACACATTCTTTACTCTGCATTTTACTACTTGCAAAGCACAGCCATGCTCTTTAGCCCCCGCCTGCCCTCCAATCTGTTTATGTGTAGGAGAGTATGTTGGTGCCCAGAGTGATGGGATGTACCTGGCCAGCATTGGCACATGTACTGGTTGACCCCCTCCACACAGGTGGCTCCATGCTGGCAGGGGTCTGAAGCACATTCTGGAATATCCTCCTCACAGTGGAGGCCTACAAAGCCGGTCCCCTCACAGTCACACTCATAGCTGGAACAGAAAATAGAAACAGATTTTATAATCTGATTGTCTGTGCCATGATACAACATACTATGATCAAGAAAAGAAGATTATTATTATTATATTATTTTTTTATGGATTTTTTGTCAAAGCACTTAAGATATTCATTGCTATCGGGATGTTCAGAGCATTCCATGGAATATAACAAAAAGTGTATCTCGAGCCGGTTTCTCAAACGTACCTACCCTACCTTTAATAAAGAAAGAACATGTATTTTAATACAGTGATTCAGCATCCTACTTGTCAAGCTTTATTTCCTCTGGTGGACTTAATTTCTTATTCTTGTACATAGGTAGAATATTAAGAAAGGCTTGCTGTCACATCACAAGCTCAATATGATGTGACAGCAACATCCCTGAACAATCCCTAGTTCTTGATATTGATATAACATGGTTCACCTGACCCATTACCTTTGTTATCATGCAAATTGTGGAAATTTAAATTGCGTTGTTTAAATGTTTTTTGCTAAAAAAATACAACCACACAATATAGTTGTGTTCTAAATACACTCAAATGCATCCATGTTTTTTTCCACATTACAACTTAATCAAACTGTGGAAATGAAACCATCCGAAGTGCCTGTGAGTGCAGCATCAGCCTGCTGTGTCAGCTATCTCAGCTCACTTCAGTTTGGGTGTAATCCAAAGACTGTATGGTGTAATCCTACCTGTTGACCCCATCCAGGCACCGGCCCTCATTCAGACAGGGGGAACTGGCACACTCATCAATGTTGACCTCGCAGTCTTGACCCTGGAAGCCGGCCAAGCACTCACACGTGTACACGGCGATGTGATCGCGGCAGGTGGCTCCGTTCTGGCAGGGATGCACCTCGCACTCATCGATGTCCACCTCACAATTAACCCCTGCAGGGGACAGAGGGATGGCAGCGGGCCAAGGAGTGAGCTCAGCAACACAACTCATTACAGGTTCAGAGACAACACTATAACAGGGGAGCTGCCAAAAACTGAGCCGCAGACTTCAGAAACACACACTGATGTCCCCATACACAGCCATGAAACTCTTGTTCGAGTTAATGGCTCAACCCATCATACTCTGCATACGAAATGTAAACAAAAAATTGATTATGATTATCATTGAAATATCTTGTGATTTTTTTTACTTCACTGAATGCTGTCAAAAAATACTGGCGGACTGCCAGTATTTTTTGCCAATAATCAAATCTCCTTTACAACTAAAAGTAACACATAAATGTTGAACACCTGCCCTGCATTTATTTTCTTGGTCTGCAAGTCAAAAAGGTTAATACATTACTTCAGTGTGGTCAGTACGGAGCCCTGGAGGGTTCATAGAGAGAAAAACTAACGCCATATTATTAGTTTTATGAAGAGGATGTCCGGTCGCCAGGGAGTGTGTGTGTGTATGTTTGTGTGTGTGTCTGTGTGTGTGTGTGTGGGGGAATTTGTTTTCAGAAGATATTATGATAGTGGCGTTCGTTCCGGTGCACTCCGACAGCACTTAGCACTAGCCTACATCGAGATTAAGATTAAACGAACTTCTTTCACTTGGGAATACACAGATGGAGTTAGCCAGATGTGTGTAAATTACTGTTCATGGTAATTTGAAAACAAATTTGCCGGTGTCGGACACACACATACACCGAACACACACACACACACACACACACACACACACACACACACACACACACACACACACACACACACATACACCGAACACACACACACACACACACACACACACACACACACACACACACACACACACACACACACACACACACACACACACACACACACACACACACACACACACACACACACACACACAGAGCTGAGCTGAGCAGAGCACAAACAGACACACATCATGTAGCATTTCACGTTTCCATAGCAACAACAACTTCCTGTCAACTGCGTAAACTCGCCTTCAAAATAAAAGCATCTAAATAAAACAGGAAGTTAACCTAAATTACATTTAAGACATATACAACTGCAACGAAAGTAACAAAAACAATGTAATATCCTTTTCAGTTTCACAGAACACAAATTGGGTTATTTACACATCATGCGCCCTGGTGACCGGACCTCTCCTTCATGAAACGAGCACTAGGGGGAATAATCGGGCAGTTCGATGTATGTAGAGGTGTGTGTGTGTGTGTGTGTGTGTGTGTGTGTGTGTGTGTGTGTGTGTGTGTGTGTGTGTGTGTGTGTGTGTGTGTGTGTGTGTGTGTGTGTGTGTGTGTGTGTGTGTGTGTGTGTGTGTGTGTGTGTGTGTATGTGGCTAAAACGTAGCAGCTTCGATCTCTATTCAGCTGTTCTAATGAAGGTAAACACAGTGATGGCGCTGCGTAAAAGACACAGCTCTCTGCGCGCAGATAGCAGATACTGTGAGAGTCACGGACATGAATTCATAGATCAAGGCAGACTGGTTCACAGACTCTCCTGTTTTGCGAATCCGGTGCTTAAACAAATAGCTCTACACCACCGAGAAAGTATCTTGTGCGCACAACTGAATAAAGCGTGGCCTTGTTTTATTTAAATTGAGGCCACGAGAATTACATCTCGTGCGCGCGAATTAATAAAACGTGTCCTCGTTTTATTAATTTGTTCTCTCTATGAACCCTCCAGGGCTCCATAGGTCAGGGTCAGAGAAAGATCATAGTTATGGAAAACAAAGTATGGCTACAGTATGATTATGGAAGGAATGGAAATGTTTAGGAACATTTGGATTATTTACATAATATGATCATATTTGTATAATTACAATGATATCGATATTACAGTTTTATATATCAGGGTTATCATCAATACCATTTGCGACACTCATTGGTTAAGGTAAAATGGCAAGAAAGAAAAACGAATGTATGCTTTTCAAGAGACTATACACTATGTGTCACTATGTGACCCCTGATAATAGCAACTTTATTTATGTTCTTGTACTTTATTTATCTTCCTTTGTTCTAAGCTAAGAGAAGCCACAAGTCAACATGTACACTTTTTTGTAGAATGTACAAGCAAAACTCAATAAAAACTCAAATGTTAAAGGAAAATGGCAAGCATGAATTGAGGTCTCTGATTCTACATGGCTCATAAGACCTGTCCACCAGCCTGTCCTCCACACTGGTCAGATGTTCTGCATGAAGGGCATGAGAGTGAGTCTTATGATTGGATTGATGTTTAGATGGTCAAACATATTCATACCAAATGGTACATCATTGTCCAAGGTCTGATCCAGTGTAATACATTTCTCCTTTCAAAAACCCAGCCAGATATAACCCTGACTTTTTGAAAACAGCAACTCACCTTTGAATCCTGGAGCGCAGTCACACCTGTAGTGATCCACCTGGTCCAGACAGGTGCCATTGTTCCGACAGGGTTGGGAGGCACACTCATTGATGTCCAGGTCACAGTGGTAGCCTTGGAATCCCGGCACACAGAAACACTGGTAGGCATCCACCCCGTCTTTACAGATGGCTCCATTGTGACAGGGCTCAGACGAGCATTCATCCACGTTCTCCTCACAGTCCATCCCCTGGTACCCAGCCGCACACTGGCACCTGTGCCCAAAGTCAGGGATGTCCATACAGGTGCCTCCATTCTGGCATGTTTCCTCTGAACAAGTGGTCACATTACCCTGGCAGTCCTCCCCTCCCGACCCCAGGGGGCAGTGGCAGGAATAGCTGTTCTCTCCGTTGACACAGTTGGAGCGGGCTCCTTCACAGGGGTTGCTCTGACATTCGTCGACATCCTCGGTGCAGTTGAGGCCCGTGAGGCCGTCGGGGCAGTGGCAGGTGTACGCGCTGGTCCCAGGTTGGCTGGTACAGTTGGTGCAGGGGGCCAGGCTGCAGGGGTCATACAGGTCATCACAGTACGCCCCCGTGTACCACACCGGTCCTTTGGGGCACAGGCACACGTAGTCCTCCAGGTGGTCCACACATGTAGCTCCATTGTTGCAGGGAGAGGACAAACACGTGTCTGCTGCAGCCGTGCACAGCAGGCCTGGAACGGAACATACAGGGACAGTTACATTTATATGTTTATATATATATATACATTTTTGTATTTGCAGTTTAAGGAATTATTTCATTACCAGGCATACAAAACAAATTAAACACAGATAGATACATGAATTAACATAACAATCGACAAATCAAATGAATGAAATTAACTTATAAGGTGTAACTTACACATAATGGATACATCATTAATACTCATACGTACATTAATTGTCAGGTCTTTATAACTTTTCCTTGTGTTTTAATATTTGTTTTTTTATATATATCTGTTGTAATTTATTGTCTTTTATTGTGATTGTACTAATGTGTTTTTATTACATGTACAGCACTTTGGCTCGACCAAAAATCGCTTTTAAATGTGCTTTATAAATAAAACTTGATTTGATTTGATTTGATAAATGTCTTGTGTTCCATAATTTAGCCAGTTTTTTTTTTCATCACAGATATGAACTTCTGATTCTCATGGTTATTTTCTCCATTCCATTAATTTCATTTCCTTCCATTGTGAGATAATAAGTTATTATCTTTTAACCAATTCCTTGTAATTTGCTAATAATTGCTATTCTTATCACTAGAAATAAGTTGGAATATTTTTTTTGTATTCCCTCTCTTGCCAAAGTAATAAGGTTAGTGGCTTCTTGTTTGGCGAAATGACACAAATATTAGACATTTCTCTTATGGCTGTTTCCCAGAAGCCACACAAAACATTACAAGACCAACATATATGACCATGGTTTGATTCTGCTCACCACGTTCCCTCCAGCATTTTGAAGTCAGATTCTGTTGATACTGACTTTGGATTTGGGGTGTCTTAAAGTAACAAATGAAAATAATCCATGTGTATACAGTTAATTATTATGCATTTCTGTCATTTATTTTATTGTAATGTGAAACAGGATGTCCTTCTGATGATCCCACAGTTAAATATCTCCAGGTCTGCAGATCTCTTTCAACTCTTTGCAGCTTTTTAGTGTTTTTCAGTCGTTTACATCTCCCAACTTTACTCTTATCAACCGCAGCAGCAGGGATCTGTTTCCAAGAGAAAGGTCTTGATGATGAGATAAAATGATATATACAGATAAACACACAGATTAACCATTTCAATTATGTTGGTCCAATATGTACCCATGAATATAGGTAATAAGTCATATTTAAAAAGGCTGCGTAACTGTGAATGAGTACTTTAATAACCTGAAAGTAAACTAAACAGCTGTTGGCTTTCCCTCCTAAGCTTCAGATGCCTACCCTATGGCTTATATGGTGGTCTCTCCATAACTCTAACCTTAAGTGGTGCTCAAGATGAAAAGCCCCTCTTTTCTCTGGAATTAAGTTCAGAGCAGATGGTGTTAAAAGTAAACGTATTACATGAACAAGCTAGCAGCTGTCAGTGTTGGAGAGCAGGTGAACCTTTACTCATCACTGTTTGTCCTCAGATGTGTACACCAACAGTGATATTACTATCTGAGTCTTAGAATCATCCTCATTCAAGAGATAACATGCAAATGTGCTTTTTGTTTTTGGTTCGACCACGTCCACCACCAACAAAATAATGTAACACTTTCATATTTGAACTGTCACCACAGTTTCAAGAGTGAAAAAGGGTGAGCAGGATCCTGAAGCAAAGAGGGGGGGTCTTGGAACACTGAAGGGGTCTTATATAGAACATACTGGACACCTTCATGGTCTCCTGAGGATGGACCCTCCTGAAAACAGTGAACTCAGTTCTTGACCTGCCCCCTTTCCAGAAGGTTCACTTTCCATGTGTTTGATGGCTGAATTTCTATCAAATGTGTTGTGGCTATTCATGGTACATAGAGAATGAATCATAACGAACTTCTATGCACTTCCCCATTCTCTAATCGTCTGATTTCACAGTGCTTCTTTAACCTCTTTCATTTGGAGCAGCAAATATGCTTACTGCAGGAGTACAAGTTACTCCGTTAGCCCTGCTAGCAAATGCTCATACCGGGCAAGGTAAGGGAAATCATTTTGACAGGATGTCAGTTCAGATTGAAACTGTGAGAGTAATGTGGTGAGGATGCACGTTAGAGCTAATGAATTCAGCTTTACAGTTGTAAGTGATACGTTTTATTGTTTTTATTTCAAATGTGTCTTAGTTCAGCTTTAAAATGATTCTCTAATAACCCTAAGTACGTTGATTATAGGCAATTTCTGATACCGTTTTCCTTTGTGTCTCCTATAAGGTGCTACATCGCCACCAAAACCAGCCTTACTCAGAAATGTATGGAATCATGATTCTGTCAGGTGGGATCAAATCCTCCAGAAACAATGTGTTCCTCTCTTAGCAAGTTATCAACATAAACAGGTAACCAGGTTTTATATCTTCCCTGCATCACCTACAGTTCTCATTTCCCACTTGATCCACTCTCACACCCCCATTTCCTCTCACATGCATCTGCTATCACTTCCTCCTTCTGTTAGGAGTCTCCCTCCTCACATGAGTCTCTCACTTCTCCTCACATGAGTCTCTCACTTCTCCTCACATGAGTCTCTCACTTCTCCTCTCATCGTCGTGATGCTTCCACACCTGAGCAATCCAGAGAAGCGCTGTGTTGTTTATTCATCCTCTTTATTTGGAACTGGAAATGTCTCTGCATGCTTTTTGGCTACATGTCTGAATCAGGGGAGGACTGGTCCTGGGGAGACGGAACATCAGTACTGCTTGTTGGATAGACGGCTGATTTATCAACGCAACTAAAGCACTAAAGTCATGAAAATGTAACATCAATGTGTTAAATTGCGTTTAAGAATTACATTGCATAATGTGTATAAAATTCCATTACACATCAATAGAAATACTTTTTGTCTTTAAAGGATGCTCATGCTGTAAATGACTCAATCTGCAATGTTTCACAAGGTGAGCCAAAACCAGGTTTAGGGAGTAAGGGTTACGTGCAACGGGATTACGTCATCAGGATACAAAAAGACTTTGACTGTATTCCCTTATGCTTACATTAAAATAAGATGTAATCAGATTACTGTTATTTTAAAAAAGAATGGGGATTAATGCTCTTAATGTCTTTCATTTTTGTAAAGCACTTAAAATGGCCTTGTGTTTAAAGGTGCTAAAACATGTGACTTGCCTTGCCTTACTGTGTCATACACTGTGTTTAATTAATGCAATAAACTAAATCAGCATTTGTTAACTATATTCTGTAGGACATTTGTTACCCTAAATATCTTGGTTTCTTCAAAGGTCACATTGTTCTGTTGTCTGACATTATAATACAGTAACAGAAAGTAGTCTGCATCTTTCTTCCTCCTTATCTCAACCTTAGCTGCATCATCTTCCTCAGAAGTGTCATCCCCTCTGCCTGCCTCACACCCCCCCCCCCCCCCCCCCCCTCCTCCCTCTGCTGGCTCTCCATGTACTGAGATCATCTTTTCTTTCTCTCATGCCCCTTTCACACCAACGCAACTCCGGTTCAAGCTCCGTGCTAGAGCTTTTCTGGTTCAGAACCGGTTCTTCGGTTTAGCGCCGGCTCTTTTCACACCGCTCAGAGCCCGACTGGTGCTGCCGCTGCTGCGTCATGACGTCACAGTTTACGTCGCTGAGTTTCTCCCCAACGCCGGAGCTCACCTCACAACAACAACGGGCCGGGGACTGCGTTGCTTTTAATCATACGAAGCCAGATTAAATTAAATAACGACTTCTCCAACCTTATACTTTTCTCCAGAGTGCCGTGGTTCATTGTTTATTAATGTGTTTCAGCGGCATTTACCGACCGCTGCAGTGGCTGCACTTCCACGGGAGTTTATTGTCCCGTTAGCTCCGGGTTAGCTCACACGGCTCTAAAGTATTCACTGTCTGACTGTCACACAAGCAGCTGATACATATCCCCAGTTCCCCTTAAGTGAATGTGTGTCAGTCTGAATTGACGCTGTTTGGCATCACAACGCTGTTATGAAAGTTTCTCTGGTATAACATGGGTGATGTTAGCATAGCAACCGAAGCTAACTGACTACTTGCTAAGCAGTTTTCTACAGGCACTTTTTACCGACGTATTTTTCATTATGATTCTACTTGTGATAGTCGGACATGACAACCTGTGCAGCCCATGTATTGATTCCATCCGATAGCTGCTATAATAACAAACAAAACGTCTGCCTGCTCTCCACAATGATCAATAACAGCGAACGGATGGTCAAAGTAAGGTACAAATAAACAGAATCACACGAAGCCTGGTTAGTGTTGCCTGACTTTATAAAGTGTGTTTTTTTTAACAAGTGTGTGGTTGCGTTCTAGTCACTTTGCTCAGCACTACTGCTTGATACAACTTTTATTTGCCGTACTCGCCTTAACTGTTAGCTCAGGTTAATCTCGCCCCCCTCCGACGTAAGCGTGACGTATGCGGTTCTTGCTTCTAGACGGACAACTTTTTGGTGCTCGAAACGAACCGGATTCCGGAGCTATGACGCTGCTCCGCTGCGGTGTGAACAGGAAAACCCGGTGCTTTTCAAGCACCAGCACCGAACCGGCCCTGAAACACCGTTGGTGTGAAAGTGTTGTTCTCTTTGCCTCCCTTTTCAAAGAGAGCCAAGATGTTTCTGTGGACCGACATGAGGAGCAGAATTATAAACTTTACCCCGCACTACCTGTGATCTCATGAATGAAGGTCTCTGTAAAACAGAGACAGTGAGGGTCTGCTCTCTCTTCACCTCTCCTTCTAATCCCAATCAACCCTTCACACATTCCAGGGGGCTGATAACAGCTCCTTGCCCCTCCCCCATTACCATGCACTTCATAGATCATTGTTATGGCCCGACAGGGTTGACCCCCGGCACGGACTGGTACCAGCACCTCACTCCAACAATAACACTGAGCAGAGCCCCTGTGAGCAGGCAGAGTGATGTCATCATCACACTGCTATCCTGGTGTTCCCTCCCTCTGCCATCAAGTCTACTTGTTATATTGAATGGATATTCAAAAACCCCAGTGGAAGAGCAGGGAAAGTAACTTGACAAAGGTTCAGGAACTGTAACCCCGACCTTATTATAGGAAGTTAAAAGGAATTATCTTCATCCTTATGTATGAAATGGTGGTCAGTTGGAGGATTGATATGTATTCTTTGTTTACATTTGACAGCATCTAAGCTTACTTGCAAAGGAGGAGGGATCACTGGAGGGTTTAAACCAGGGATGGGCAAATGGCGGTCCGGGGGCCGCATGCGGACCCCACCTCCTCTTTTTGCGGCCCTCAGATTAATTTATAAACAACGTAATTAATAATAAAAAAAGAGAGTACTGATACCGTCCACTAGACTCCTAGTTACGTTGCGAGCTGCGTACATGATTTCAAATACCGCAAAAGAATCTGTGACGCGTTTGTGTGTATTGTGTTTGTTTCCCGGGGAAACACTCACAAGAAACACCGGCTGTTGTTATGCCTGCTGTGACGTTAAGTTACCGCTTGTAATTATGCCTTTACAAGCTTCAAAGTTGTATTTATCATCTGAATTTGGCGAAACAAGTTTAATATTCTAAAAACCAAGACTTTGTTTATTTGAAATCAGATGAAAACAAACTGTCACGGACCCTGCCGTGTTATCTATGATTAATATACGCTTTTCATTCATAATTTCAGAGGGAGGGGGAGCGGCGCTGAGGAACAGCAGAGTGCGGGTTGACAGGTGTCTGTGTGGACATTCCCCTTATTGTGGAATAAGGGGAATGCAGAGACAGGCTACAAGTGTCTTAGGTTCAAGTTAGACAACTAATGTCTGGGTTAGTGTTCATGACTTCATGTTTATGTCATCTTAATGGTTAATCTTAATGCACACACATTTTCCGTGCTTTCCAATAGTTTAAAATAGTTTTATTCCACTGTTAAATAACCTGTTCAATACAAACATGCCACTTGTAAAAATTAAATAACATTTATGTGAAGTGATATTTGTTTAGTGAGCTTATTAGAGAATGTTCCCTGACAGATTGAAAAATATCAATGAAGATGTCAGACTTAGTATATTTGTTAATAATTACATACAATACATGGAATTTGTGTGTGTGTGTGTGTTCCAAGTGAATCTGCGGCCCCCTGGTGGCCACTACATCAATTATGTGGCCCCCACCACCATCAAAGTTGCCCATCCCTGGTTTAAACAGTCTAGATATTCACTGGCAACTGACCTACAAGCATCATGACCTCTATTTGACTGTACCACTTCTGAAGCAAACATGTGTATTCATATAGAGAAATGTGTGTGTTGAAAATCATTATTGGTAACGTTCATGGGTGATGTTCCTTAGTAAAGGACATGACTGACACGCTCATTTAAACATCATTATAAGGAGCTGAGCATTAACAGGGTTCACCCAGCATGCAATATCTCTGTTTAATCAATATGGTTTATACATTCTGGTGCTCCTGTGATTAATACATGTTCTGAAGAAGCACAGTGTTAGCAACATTATGGAATCAAGTATATTCTGTGTGTTCATCAATATGAATTGCTCATTTCTCCTACTCAAGTTATTGTGTCTGTTTGAAATGGTTACTTCTTCATCAGAAACCAAGTGGCTCTGACTGGTCAGGAAGTAATAACAAGGCCTTGGACTGGTGGTTTTTGTCTATAATGGGATTTGTGGGCAATAAGACAATTATAAAGTAACTCCAGACTTATCTTTGAGATTTCTCTAAACCTGAGCTTTTTTTGCGATTTCTAGAACATTTCTAAAGCAAAACTTTAATCCAAACTAAACTAAAAAGACACCCAGAGAAACATAAAGCAAATAATGGAGTCTTTTGTAATGTTACACTGAAAGAATGTAAGTATGATTCTAAGAGTTTTACCGCCTCTGCATGTTTTTAAATAACATGTTTAAAGAGATAAAGGCTCTCTCAAACCCTTGGCAGGTGCGAAAGGCAGAGAGAAAGTGTTTACCCCGACTCATGAAAACAGCAACACAAAGTCAACAGAGAGGCTCGCTGCAGGGCAGAGGAAGCAGCCGCCATGAATCACAGGGAAGAGCCTAACGCACGTCGGGCACACAGGAATTTGATTGAATCTCCCCAAGAGACGAGCAGCTCTGCCTGAGTCCATCTCTGTGCTCCAAAGGCTCCACAGCAGGTGGCTGCTTTACAAATCCTCTCTGAGTCAGTCACCGTCACACACCGAGTCAGAGTCTCCTGTTCCGTTCTAACACTGTTCGCTCTAGCTGCGGGCTAAATGTGATTTTATTACTTTCCAATTACAATGAAATCAAAATCAACATGTTTTCCTGGGATCGGCTGGCTCCTCTAAGTGGTTTTTATTTTATTTGTTCTGAAAAATGTAATGTTTAGTAATACTGTCAATGCTTGTACGCCCATATTTGTATCTTTTTGGGTCAGCAGCTCCCAACTCTTATTAGAACAATTCCTTCTAACTCAGTCACAGTTTGAAGAGCCCTCTGTGTGTCCTCTGGAGAGGGCAGCCTGTAGAGACTCACACTCTTTAATGAACAGATCTCACATAACTGTGAAAATATTAGGTTCGACTTAATATCATTCTTTCAACTAACCTAAGTCTTTTGTGTGGAGATTGTTGACATAATACATTTAATTAAAGTCAACGTCTTCGTTTTTTCAGTGCAGGATGCTTAAAAGGTGGTTCAGACTTTGCACAGACCTCCTTTCTGGGATCTATTCCTCTAAGATTCCTATCCTGCTAAAGTATTAACGCTTCTCTCAGTAAACCGGTTGGTACAAAATATGGAGGCTTTTTTTTTAACTTTTATAAAAAATGGACTATTAACATAGCCATATGAAAAGGAGGACCATATTACTCCTGTCCTCCTCTTCCTCATCACATGTCCTCGGCTTCTCGTTTGTTTTTTTCTGTCCGTTTTAAATCCTCAAGAGCGGAGAGTGCCAGTTCTCTTGCTATGCTCCTTAATACCCATCACTCCTTCCATTCAAATCTGAGACAAAAAGCTGTGCACTAGTGCAGCCGGACGCTCAGCTTGTTACCATGGTGATCTTCAACAATGCCACCCCCAGCCAATCCCTGCTGCCGGTCCGCCAGCGTTTAAACGAGCTTCAGACAATTCACACAAATGAAGGTCGCGGGAAAAATGGGTCAGCAGGGTTTCATAAGGTGGTGGGGTCGACCAAGAAGCCCCCCACACACTCACATTTACACACACACACACACACACACACACACACACACACACACACCACTCACATTTACACAAACACAACACACACACACACACACACACACACACACACACACACACACACACACACACACACACACACACACACACACACAGAAAACAAACTCCTGAGGACCAGCTACAGTTTATCTCAGATCCATCAGAAAATCATAAAGACACTTAGTTTAGAAGAATTATAATTTGTATTTTGGTATGGTATGTTTCAAAAACTGACTAACATACAAATACAAATAGATATCTTCAGAAATCACCCCAGAAACGTTTCATTGGTTTCATCACTTTTAACACTATAGTGTGTACAGAACACGTGATGATGCTTAAGAAGTTTTGAAGTGATGCTTTATCTGATCACACACAACTTTATGAACTTTACTACGTACATCATTGTCTTATTATGATTTGGTACTCTGTTTACTACTCTTTATTTCACTTTATTATTCTCCATTATAATTTGCTACTGTGTGGCTGACAGATTAGTGCAACTCTCCTGATTAAAACCATCACAAGTTTACACCTCACACACACACCTCACACACAAAGCCATGCCTGACTCTACACACAAGCAAGGGATGCTTTTTGGAGTTTTGAATAGTTTATATTTTCCTCTTAAACTTCTCAGACAGTTCCTACTCTGATATGTGGCATACATGAAGGTGATGAGTTTCTGTTTCTGCAGAAGTAGAAAACTGCTCACCCATTTTGAACATCATCATGGTGATCAGCAGCGTCCTCTGATGTCTGGACCAAACTCTTCCAAACTCCATGGCTGCTGGCTGGTCAGTGTAGAGCGGGGCTGTCACTCACAGGCTCCATCCAGCTGCTCTCTCTCTGCTGCTGACACTGAGCTCCAGCACCTACATGACCACAGACCCAGGCTCTGAGAGTGTGGGAGGCTCTGAGAGTGTGTGAGGCTCTCTGGAGCAGGCTGGAGTAAACAAGGGGGTGAGGGGAGGAAGACCTGAGCTGGACTACTGGACTGGACTCACGCACTCTCTCTCTCTCTCTCAAGGGCTTTATTTCTGGATAAATAAGATAAGATGTACTTCATTCATCCCAATTTGGGATTTTTATCAGCAGCATAGGTAAGATAGTGCACATGAATGATGAGTTATAATATAACATAGTAATAGTAAATAGTATAAAATAAAATAAAATAATCATATTTGAGAAATTAGACATAATAAGTGCAATACTGTTTTTTTATTGTTTTTAATGAAAATGTACAAACAATCAACCATTTACCGTTTCCCTAATTAATCAAGAAAGAAAAACAAAGCATATGGAAGCAATAATAATCATCAGTAGAAGATAAACAAAATACACAAAACAGTGAATACATACGATTAATGAAGGATAAATATCTATAGAGTATATATATTGAATCCACAATATCAATATAAAGAATCGAGGCAGTGTACATTATGCTTGTCCAGCCTATCAAACTACTTTGAATACAATATACACTCGTAGAATAATAATAACGGTATTACGTTCAATGTAAATCCTCAGGGGACCACCTGAAAACCGTTTATACAAATGAGTGAATTTGTGATTTGACAGGGCTACTTTCTGAACTACTATAACTTGTTGTGATGGCCTAATTATTTTCCTGACTAATAGTTTATTTGGTCGGTCTGTAAAATATCAGGACACACAGAGAAGGTCTGTGGTGATGTCATCATATTGTAGCTTCAGCTTCAGCAAGTCCATAGCAACAGATCATACTGCAGTGGATGAAAGATGAACACAGGAGCTGGAACTGGGTCGTTGAATGAAAATATGACTTTCACAAAATAAATATTGAGCATTAATCATCAAAACTTGTTGGGGTTTGACAAATCTGTTGGTGGTGAAAAAGGTTGGGAATCATATTTGAGAAATACATCATAAGAAGTTAAATACAATTAAATTGCTGTTTTTAGTTTTTAAAAAGAATGCAAAAGCAATCAACCATATATCATGTACCTACTGTAATCATCAAGATAGAAAAACAAAGCTACATCAGAAGGAATTCTTAATAATAAAAATACTTTATAAAACATTTCAAGGGTTAGGGTGATATTAAAACATGTAATTTGAATAATTTCCCCTATAATAAGATGTAATGTTAACAACAGAACATAAAGTGTAGACATCATGTCAGCCTTGCAGATACTGCATATATGATCAGACCTCCCCCCCCAGCTTTGGGAGCAGGGCGCCTACCCGGCCGGTGGAGGCCTCTGTGGCCTACTCACCCCCACTTCCACTCCCACACACACCCCCACCCCCACTGCCCCACCAGGCCTGATCCCAGCGTCAGGCTTAAGTCCAACCTGCTGCGCTCACAACAACACAAAAAGTTTAATTAAACACTGTGAGGGTTGGGGGAGGGGCAGGACGAGGGGAGGGGGGGGGGGGCGGGGGTCCTTCAACAAGCGACATGCAAATGTATAAAGCAGTGAGTCACAGCAGCTCCACATTCCTCAGAGACTGCAGCAACAAGGAGAGCTGTCTGTCTGTAACCTGTCTGTAACCTGTCTGTCTGTAACCTGTCTGTCTGTCTGTAACCTGTCTGTCTGTCTGTCTGTAACCTGTCTGTCTGTCTGTCTGTCTGTAACCTGTCTGTCTGTCTGTAACCTGTCTGTAACATGTCTGTCTGTAACCTGTCTGTCTGTCTGTCTGTCTGTAACCTGTCTGTAACCTGCCTGTCTGTCTGTAACCTGTCTGTATGTCTGTCTGTAACCTGTCTGTAACCTGTCTGTCTGTCTGTCTGTCTGTCTGTAACCTGTCTGTAACATGTCTGTCTGTCTGTAACCTGTCTGTTTGTCTGTAATCTGTCTGTCTGTCTGTCTTTCTGTCTGTCTGTCTGTAACCTGTCTGTTTGTCTGTCTGTCTTTCTGTCTGTCTTTCTGTACATGGTTACAGCAAGAAAAGAGCCAAAGATAACTAATTGAATTAATAAACATGCATAACATATTAAAGATAAAAGTAGAAGTTACACAAATACTCATCCAGTAGCAGGAACAGTTGTGAGAGAGCAGACAGAGAGAGCAGACAGAGAGAGCAGACAGAGAGAGCAGACAGGGAGCGCAGACAGAGAGACAGACAGAGAGAGCAGACAGAGAGAGCAGACAGAGAGAGCAGACAGAGAGAGCAGACAGAGAGAGCAGACAGAGAGCAGACAGAGAGAGCAGACAGAGAGCAGACAGAGAGAGCAGACAGAGAGAGCAGACAGAGAGAGCAGACAGAGAGCAGACATAGAGAGCAGACAGAGAGAGCAGACAGAGAGCAGACAGAGAGAGCAGACAGAGAGAGCAGACAGAGAGAGCAGACAGAGAGAGCAGACAGAGAGCAGACATAGAGAGCAGACAGAGAGAGCAGACAGAGAGAGCAGACAGGTGTTTTAAGGTGGATATTGCAGTTATTTACAGATGTATTATAGAAGCTGAATTGTCTAACTAAGGGTCAGCAGCCACTAAGAAATATAATTTTTATGAAGCGTTATGTCTGTATATTGCACATGGCATAACACATTGTAAATATTGGTTATTTAGGAACACTCTCCTCCCCCTTTTCCTCTGAAATGACTTCTGTTCTTGTCCCGTGCTGGGGCTTTAGTTTAGTTTGCAGTGGATTCACAGTTTGCTGTTCTGAGCCCTAGGTCGCTGTGTAGGTCGCTTTGTAGGTCGCTGTGTAGGTCGCTGCGATGCCAGCCTGAGTATCCCTCACAGTAACAACACTGTGCTCATGTTACTATTACACTTATGAAGTCCAATAAAATTGCAAGCATCTCCATTGTGATGTGTCTCGTGCCGCCATGGTTCAGAAGCATTTGCCGACCTCTGAAGTGGTACTCCACCTGTACTCCACCTGTACTCCATGTGTACTCCACCTGTACTCCATGTGTACTCCACCTGTACTCCACCTGTACTCCATGTGTACTCCACCTGTACTCCACCTGTACTCCATGTGTACTCCACCTGTACTCCATGTGTACTCCACCTGTACTCCATGTGTACTCCACGTGTACTCAACATGTACTCCACCTGTACTCCATGTGTACTCCATGTGTACTCCACCTGTACTCCACCTGTACTCCATGTGTACTCCACGTGTACTCCACATGTACTCCACCTGTACTCCACCTGTACTCCACCTGTACTCCATGTGTACTCCACCTGTACTCCATGTGTACTCCACCTGTACTCCACCTGTACTCCATGTGTACTCCACCTGTACTCCATGTGTACTCCACGTGTACTCCATGTGTACTCCTCCTGTACTCCACCTGTACTCCATGTGTACTCCACCTGTACTCCATGTGTACTCCACCTGTACTCCATGTGTACTCCACGTGTACTCCACGTGTACTCCACCTGTACTCCACCTGTACTCCATGTGTACTCCACCTGTACTCCACCTGTACTCCACCTGTACTCCACGTGTACTCCATGTGTACTCCTCCTGTACTCCACCTGTACTCCATGTGTACTCCACCTGTACTCCATGTGTACTCCACCTGTACTCCACCTGTACTCCATGTGTACTCCACCTGTACTCCACCTGTACTCCACCTGTACTCCACGTGTACTCCACCTGTACTCCATGTGTACTCCACCTGTACTCCACCTGTACTCCATGTGTACTCCTCCTGTACTCCACCTGTACTCCATGTGTACTCCACCTGTACTCCATGTGTACACCACCATTACCACCTGTACTCCACCTGTACTCCACCTGTACTCCATGTGTACTCCACATGTACTCCACATGTACTCCACCTGTACTCCACCTGTACTCCACCTGTACTCCACCTGTACTCCACGTGTACTCCACCTGTACTCCATGTGTACTCCACCTGTACTCCATGTGTACTCCACCTGTACTCCACCTGTACTCCACCTGTACTCCATGTGTACTCCACCTGTGCTCCACTTGTGCTCCACTTGTGCTCCACCTGTGCTCCACCTGTACATGCTCCCATCTACTGTGAAAAACCACATAGGATATTGATGTTTAATGTTTTGACGGGGGTTCTCTGGTCTCATGTATGCCCCTCTGAGACACTTCCTGTGTGGAAACGTTGAAGCTGGGCTAGCAGCTCTCGATCTGATCCAGCATAATAATCAGTGTTCCTGACTCTCGTGTCCACGTACAGTCAGGTTCCTTAAGATGACAACAAGTACCTGGTTTGTTTTTGTCAACATCATAATACGTTTTCAGGCCAACATTTTTTGCAGCCAAATATTTCTTTTTTATTCTATGTGTTTTGTTCCTGTTCTTGCTCTATTTCTTGTGGAGGGGCCTGGGGAATTGTTTGATACATAAATAATATTTGTCTTCGGTGATTGACTGTACATGCTTGTCATTCACTATAACAAACCCAATATCCAAAAGGAGTAAAGAATGTCCAACCAGAAAAACGTCTTGTAGTCACTGTCATCATAGTTTTGTATTAAGCAGCACCATTGCAATGTGACGTAATGTGGATGCTGAATATTGTGCAGCCCTGATGTACAAGCGTTGTGTTTCTACTCATTCATCTTGCTCATTCATTCTAATGCAACTGAGTTAGTGGCAGAAACTGGGGCTACAGCATAAAATTCACATTAACCAAATATATATATTTTTTTCAACAACAATTGATTAATTTAGAGAGTTAAAAACGTAATTTAGTGGGAATGCTGATGCAGCCATAAAAGACGATGTCGCTATAACTCCTATGAAAATGTTCAAAAAGTGCTCAAACTTCACATGTGTGCTAACAGTCCAGCCGTGAAGACATCTACGGGACAGTTTTGAGATTTCTTCAAATGCCGTTGCCATGGCAACACAATGCTCGCCTTGAAACATGGTTTTATCATAACTTCAGTGAAA